CATGGATGACCCTTGAATGCAAATAGGGACACTAACATGATGGTCAGCCTGCTTCATTTGAAAACCCTCTGTATCATTATATGTTGTTAATTTGTACCTACCTTGACCATCTGTAAGACTAGGTGCTACCTTTTGTACAATTGTACCCCAAACAATCAGCACAACTGTCTCAGCAGTGTGATGATCAAGCATGTTGTTCATTTGCAGGAGAAACAGTAAAGACAGAAGCTGCTGTCCAGGTCACAGCTGTTCCTGCCTCTGCTGCCAAGTCCGAGGACCTACAGGCTGCACAGCAGAGCTCAAAGGACCACCCCGGCATAAACTATGTAAGGTTACACTATGATATCCTGGGTTCTCAGCTATACAATCAAAGGGATATTATCTGACAAAGTTTTGTTTGCAAATACAAATGGTGTTGGTGCTAGTGCCAGTTGCCCATACAACTTGGATTTGGTAAGACATTAATCATGCAATTTGTATCTTTGTTATATTTTGTCTGAATAGTCTGATCCTTGCCTCCTCCCTCATGGCAGTGTCCAGCATAAGGAAACAAATTCAAAACCAAGCAAATATATGGAATAAAATAGATCCCACACTTTCTCCCCCAGGCTGGTAAAGGCTTGGTCATGTCTCAGGGGCCATTCTCAGGTCGCGGCCGGTCCAGACTGGAGAGTGAGGACACCATCAGCGATGACGAGCAGATGATGATCTGTGAGGAGGGAGATGACGACGTTTTAGGTGAGCTTTTTCTTCCTCTTTTTTTTGGCCCACTCTGTCTTGTTATTTGATTTTTCAAAATACAACACAAAGCACAAAAGAAAAGCATGGCACATAGACAATGTGATTCTAAAGCCTTCTCAAGAATGTCTTGAACATCTGAAGTGTGCATACCTCAGAGATTACTGATTCTATTGTTTTTAACCACCATTTTTTTTATGTGCTGGTCTATGGTACCTGTGAGATCTATGAAATTTGATGCTACTTATTTCTCACTTGGTACCCACAGTTGACCCTCCAGGCCAGGATCCTGACATTGACCTAAAGTGTAAGGAGATGGTGACAGAGAGCGACAGCGGGAGCCAGTCCGAGGATGAGGTCATGATCGAGAACAAGATCTTCCCCCAGCAGCGCTTCTCCCCCGCCATGAAGCCTGCCCTTCCTGCTGACATCACCTTCCGTCCCAAACCTATCAAACTCAGACCGGAACCACAACAGGACACAAACATACAAGTCAGCAGAATGGCAAGCAATACGGAAACACAAGGGCCCATTTCTGTCTCCCAGATACCGTTCTCTCGACCGATCATCAGCAGCAGTAGTTTCCAACCAAAAGGTGCAGTATTCAAGGTTCACTCCCCTAAAGGACACTTGGGAGGCACTGTGATGAGTAGGCAAACTGTTGTTTCCTCTACCCTTTCTTCAGATCTTAGAACTACCAGAAGAGATGCTGGGTCATCTGGTCCAGTTGGAAGCAGAACTGAAGCCTCACATGGTGGAATGTTTGTTGAACAAAGCAGTGTTCGTTTCTCTCTGCCAAAGGCAACATATACAAGTAGTGTGCCCTTTCAAACTGAGCCGGGCAGAACACAGCCCGCTGATGCTTTTGTAAAGTCAAGTCCACAGACAGGAAATTTTGCCCCCCTGTCCAGTCTGAAAGGGGTATGTAGTTCCAGGACTGCCCCCAGCACTGGGAAGGAGAAGGCAGGCAGAAGTGTTGAGTACTGTAGAACCTCTTCAGCTGGACTGTCAAACAGGAGTTCTGATACCCACCTGCTCCTCCCAGACCCCACAACAACAGCCAAGTCAGCTGTCATGGACAACAACAGACAAGTTTCATTTGCAGGGACCGGTGTCTTTTCCAAATTCTCTGTCATAAGAACATCCACTGAAGTGCAGCAGACACAGACACCAGTGAAAATCAGTACAAGCATAGTAGAAAACAGAGCACAAAGTAATAACAATAAACAGCAAGGGATTCCTTCTGTAGGGCAGATTCCTGTAGTAGCTCCACCAACTCTGGTCATGCCACAGCTGCAAGAAACACAAATGATGTCCTCAACCTACACAAGTCAAATGAAACATCCACCTCCGAATGCTTCCACCCAAGTTCAAATAGCAACTGATGCTGGAAATGTTTCAACAGCACCTTACCAACAGACATTAGCTACATCAGCGCCAGAGGTCTCCAGGGTGCCCAGTACCATCACCAAAGTTCAGTATGTGTTGCCGACACTTGCTGCATCCTATGGTACCTCTCCCTATGCGTGCACCATACAGCTGAACGTTCCCACCACCCAACAGAAGACAATGGTGATGGGACAGCCAGGTGTGACAGGTATGTCTGTGTTGTAATGAGGAATGGTTGCTGGTGCTTCCTCTGCCAGATTTAACCATCTCCCTGCTGCCTAACACTAACTAATATGGTGGTGAATTGGTAGCCAAATGGCTGGCTCAGTGTGCTAAGGCTTCAAGGAATGAAAACCAAGCAAGCTGTGGTTGTGAACATAGTTATTAACACTTGTGGGTGAAATATGGAGATATGAAGAATGAAAAAATACAGGCTGAATTGAATGAAATTTATCCCATTGGAGATTAGCCTATACATTGTATCTACAGAAGTATAATCTCAAATCAGATGTCGCAAAATCCTAATGTTTTTCTAGTTCCGTTTTTGTTACAAACTGCCTTTCCTAACTAATTTCCAGGCAGATGTTGGCAGGCTAAAAAGAAGCAATTTTCCAGCTCCCCATTTGTGTTACAAAAGTTTGGAGGTAACATGTGGATGACTTACATGTACCCTCCTAACATCTCCCCAGCCATTCCGAGAAGCAAGGCTCCACAGCAGAAAGCAACAGACAAGCCACCAGACAACAAACTGCCCGTGAGGCCGGCTGGTCAGATGTTGACCTGTCGACCACCGGGGACTTCGCCGGCTGCCGACCCCAACATGAACATGCAGTGGATGCCTCTGGGGAGCCACCCCCTCCCCAACGCTCCGATGCTGAATCTGCGAGGTCCCAGCCTCACACCGGTCCTGCCCAGCATCAACCTGCAGCTGGTGTCCCAGGCAGGGCCCGGGGCGGTGAGTAAGGGAGGGAAGGCGGTGCGCATCACCACTCAGCCCAGTCTGACGCCGGCTGGCAGCACCCTCCCCATGGTGGCAAATGTGACGGCTCTTATCCCCTGTTCCACCCCCTCAACTCAGCTGGCAGCTACACAGGTCAGAACATGGGGTGGTGTGGCTCCTGTAGTTACATTTGGGTTTCTCAAAGGATTCTGGTTTCTTTTTGATACTCTGCCTGCCTGCTTAATGTTTTACTGCAAAAGTCAGATCTAGAGAAGCAAGGGATCATATTGGTGTTGCCTTAAGTCCTTGTGACAGTGCAAACCTGTGACATGATGTTGTTTATCCCGTAGGTTGCCCCCGTGTGGCAGTTTGCAGCCGCGTCCCAGGGTGTACACGTGGCCAGTCTGCTGATGCCTCCTGTCAACGTGAAGAAAACTCCAGGAATCAACACTACGGTCGTCCCGCAGGACGTGCCCCTCCCAAACATACCTTTGGCATTGTCGTCAGGGTCAGCAAGGATATTATCTTTCTATGATGGCCTTCATGGGGGTGTTCAGATGTAGAGATGTGAATCCAATGTAGTGCATAAGTGAATAAGCCTAAAGAGGATCATTTTAAATCATTAACCCATATATTAGCTGTCCAGAATGATCAAAATGTGCCTCTCTGAAAGTATACAATTAAGTTGAAATGTCACATTGATAAATGATCCTCTATTTTCAGGGTTCCAAGTTTGCCTAGTCAGACTCCACCAGGCAGTACAGTCACAGTCGGGGGGGCTGCAGTCAACTTGGCAGCTCCGTCAAGAAACGACACAGTAGCTGCAAAAAGTGCTGCGGCAGGCCTGGTACAGCTGCTGTCTGGACAGCCAGCCAGTGGAGCGGCATTTCCTAACCAGTTTGGCACCACTGGGCCTGGTTAGTGTTCCTTACCAGACTAAGCACACTCAGAGTTTGAAGTATCACCAGTCCTGCATTGGCATGTTGGTACTAGATGTATAAGGCAGAGTTCTGCACATATTTCTGATGTCTACTCTGCCTTACTAGTAAGTTATGTAACTGTTCAAAGTAGCATCCTGTTTTTTATAGCAGATTACAGGATTCAAGATGGCAACAGGCTCACCTTGCAAATATGGGCTGAGTGTCATATACACCATATGCGAGGAATACATTAGCATTTTGACCATAACATTGTTTGAATCAGTATTTTAGTCAGTCTATGATATATCTTGTGTTTTTTTAACCTTCTTACGTACTTTCAGGCTACAGTAGAATGCAAGGCAGTAACCACACGGCAGACCTTCCAAAACAGAATAGTAAAAGCAGCGCAGCAACAACAGCAGCAGCTTCAACTACAGCCCAAAGTGTGGCCACTGTCAAAGACGCCTCCCACAGTGTACCTGTAATACCAGGGGTCGTCTGTACGTCTGCATCAGAGGTGGTTGAGAATCTCCCCACCGTGACTAACAGTGGTCAACCTTCCAGCCTCACTGTGAGCCAGGCCTCCAGTAGGGTCCAGACAAACCCAGCTGCTACGGTGCGTATTTTAAGTTGTTTGTCCTTTTTTTACTCCTCTTTATAGTTACTGCAACAAGAAGCTCAAACAGACAAGCTCTCAGAGGCTGTTTTATTTGTACCCAAACCTCGTCATTCATAGATTTGAGGATCTCACACATTTACCTGTTGAACATTTTTTCCTCTTTTGCAATTCATTGCATGTGAGCAACATTGTAGTATCTTCTTGTAACATTTTAAAATGCTTCCTATACTGGTCAGGATACAGCCACTGTTAGCCACCACCCTGAAAGACCACACATCAAGGAGTCTTTAACAGCAGGTCAAGAGCACAAGGCCCAGCTGCCGGAGACCTCACAGACAGACACAAGCGGGTATCTCTTTACCTCTAGTTTTATGCAATTATTATATCCCTTTCATTGCCTCATCCCTGTAGGTATTGTTGCAATTTGAACAGAGGTATCGCCTATCACACTCATCATAGAATTATCATTACTGTAGCCACTTTTTGTTGGTCTCATATTTTGGCATTGGCTGGTAAGTAACTAGGATCCTGTTGATCCTGTTTATAAAAACCTCCTGTCTAAAATGACAACTCCAAGTCCCTTGAGTGGTCATTATTCACAAGTTTGACTGTATTTATGGCTTCACCACAAAGTGGTGAAGACATATTGTGTTCCCTCATGTTTCTTCTTCTCCTTCTCCTCCTCCTGCCATTTCTTTAAATGGATTCATCTCTGCCATTTTCTGGCCAAATAACACGAAATTTGGCATGAAGGTAGAGTGGGCAAATACCCTGACGCGTTTTTTTCATTTTTTTGAAAAATTGTTTTATTTGGGTTTTTTGGCCATTTTCAGGCAAAAAATATACATTTTGAGATCTGGTTCCCAGGTACTAAAACCAAATGACCTGAAATTTGGTATGGGGATACCTTGGACATATGTCTACAAAAAGTCATTCAAGCTTTTGACATACACCACTTTATAATTGGGAAAAATAAGGCTTTTTGGCTATTTTCGGACCAAAAATGTACATTTTTGGCTCCTGTGCCCTAATATTAAATCTGAATGACCTGAAATTCGGTATGGGGATACCTTGGACACATGTCCAAAGAATGTCATTCTCGATTTTGACATACACCACTTTAAAGTTATGTAAAATAGGGCTTTTTGGCTATTTCCGGCATTGGAAGGTTCCATTGCTGCATGGGGGTGTAGACTATTGGCAGCCATCGTAGGATAGATCCATTTTCGGTATGGGGGATGTGGTGAAGCCATCTGCTGCATTTGCTCTCAAGCAAATGTCGGCCTTTCTAGTTATTTATTGTTTTTTTGCATCAGCCTGAAGATTCTGTCGGAAGTTGATTTTGAGGCGCGGCTGGCGGAGCTGCCGGAGTTCCAGCCCAGCGGCACAGGGATCAGCAGGCTGACCACCACACCCAGGGAGCTGCTCAGCTGCTACCGACGCAAGCGGAAAGGATCCAGCAGCATGATGTCCAAGGGTTAGCTACAAAATGTGTTGTACGTTATATATGGTGGTATGGGGAGTGCTGGGTTCTTAGCTATACAACCAATCAACCAAGGGTATTTTATCTGCACACATTTCAGTTACCTTTAAGCTTTTGTCTAGATACAAATATGCTGTTGAGGTAGTACTGTAATTGTGTAAATCTTGAAATGTTAGAAGTGGTTTTATTTTCATGTTTTTACATTGAACTCTACACTGTCAAAATCACAACACCACAAATATTTCCTTTGTATCTACAGTAGCTGCACTACAGCTGCAAACTTGAAACACTCTGAAAAAGTGCCTGCCTACAAAATGATGTCCCCAAGAAATGAAACTATTTTACTGTAGATAAAACCAAGCCAATCCCTGTCCTTGCAGATGGGGAGGGAACACCTGAGGAGCCAGACTCGCCGAAGAAGTCCCGCCCCAGACGGAAGTCCAGCACCAGCTCTGAGCCCAGTGTAGGGGAGGAGCTGGCTAACATGGAGATGATGGCAGAAGCTGCTGTAGCTGTGCAAAGGCGAGGTGGGCAGGATGTCAATATGAACTTTATGAATGCAATTGTGCAACAATTGTACATGGTAGTGGCCAGGTACAGGAAGCCAACTTTGCATTACGCAAGCTTTGTGTGGAGTGTGGAAGGTATGTCCATAGAAGTCTAGCGTCACCCCTCAGAAAATTTTAAACATAGTCATAGATTTATTAAGTGTCACAGGGTTCTCCTCAGAAAGAAATACCCCTATGCTGGTTGACAGAAAGAGCATAGGGACAAAAATCACAGTGCTTGTGCACAAAGTATACTAACTAGAACATGGATACATGTATATATTGTGTATATTTCAGGCTCGCAGAGCTCAGATGGTGATGTGTTCAGCGACGTGGAGGGAGACCGTACGTCCTACTCCTCCTTACGTCGTACTCTGGACCAGCGAAGAAACCTCGTGATGCAGCTGTTCCAAGAGCAGGGACTCTTCCCATCAGGTAATACACAACAGGCTCGAAATACACAACTGCAATTTGCAGGAAGAATCACCAGATTGCAGGTTATGTCAAAACTTGCTTGAGTGAGTAGAATTCATAAATTCTTTGAACTGCAATTGCCAACATAGAGACTAACCCACACTTTTTACTGTACGACACCAGTCTCTGTCAGTTGAATCATGCTATCTACCTATATCGGTGAACTTGTAATCTAATGTCTTATAAAGAATTGATCCTAACGTTATTCATTTGTATGTAATAACGTCTTTCACTTTTCCTATCAGCCCAGGCTACTACAGCATTCCAAGCAAGATACCATGACATATTTCCCAGTAAACTCTGTCTGCAACTAAAGATTAGGGAGGTCAGTTCTATCTGCTTTATCTTTATAGCTTCATAATTAAGTGACCATTATTTAGTGCATAGTTTGTTCCGCAATCATTATTAAATCCTGAATTGCTTGTTCCTAACTTGAGTCCCTGTATCTTGAGTCAAAGTTTTGGTAAAATTGAGAGTTCTGCATTTCACTCGGTATCTTGAAAGGAGAGATGAGACAACTTGGAACCAAATTTAGCACCACAATTCTTCCTTCTAACAGCCATCGGTTTATCTTGTTACTAGGTTCGTCAGAAGCTGATGCAGCAGCAGGCCCACGGCTCAGAGGGAGGGGGGGAGGAGGATTCGGTGTTCCACACTGAGGACAAACTACAGGTCCCCCTTGACGGGACAGAGAAAAACGACAACAGTCCTGCTGCAATTGTGGCTAGCACCATGTAAACTCCTCTCCTGCTGGGGTAAAGCAATGAGTCGAATGACATACTTTTTGAAGAGATAATGTCTACTAACTTGTTTCTGCCAGGTCACGTATATACGCAACGTACAAAAAATGCATCTAAAGAGATTTCCAATCCAACATCGCCCAGCATGTATCTTATCTGTGTATAGCTGGAGGGTGCTGCACTAGAGGTCTCTCAAACATTCAGTTTTTCAAAGGGGGGGGGATATGTGTAGAATAGAAATTCAGTTATCTAAAATGTTGATTCCTATGTTGGATCATGGAAATAATCCAAACACAAGCAGTTTAAGTTGTTTTTATGGATGACATATTCAGTGTGAATACTGAGATGAATGAAAATAAATGTTGACAGAAATTGGAACTAAAGTAAGATTATATGTTTGGCACTAATTTGCTTGCCTGAATTAACTTGAAAGGCAAAGCCATGAGAAAAGCATGTTCTAAAGTGCAGGGCAGATTCTTTATTCTTTTGACTATGTAAAGTCTTTATTGTATTTTTCAGAATATTCTTCTCAGTTCTTCACATGATTTGAAAATATATCTGATGTCATTCACAAACTTGAATTGCTGTCAAGCAAAATGTCACTGACAGCCAACTTGTACATTGCCTCAGAAGGATCATGTTTGTACGTAGTTTTACTACATGTACCTTTGTCTATATTGCTGAGCCTGCTAACTTACCAATGGCCAATCACACACAAGCTAAATCTACTTCCAGATGTAGATGACACAAAATCACTTTACAGGCAAGAACAGCTGCAGTACATTCATTGAATCAAACCTGTACAAGCAAGAAAGTTTAAAGAGATCTCTTTGAACCTTCTTGTTACAAGTTACCACCTCTACATAAGGACCACCTGGCCAATGCGACCATGTTTGGTGGTCATTTAGATAATTTTTTCCATGGACACATGTAGTAATGAATGTAGCGATGACCTGTCCAGATTTTATTGGTCCCCTGAGTGGTCTTCTTGGGCAGCTTTGACTTTTTAGACTGCAGTCAGATAGACCTATCCTTCACTGTTAAGACTTATTTTGCAAAGCTGGTATGTCTTTCAGTGGTGTAATGATAACACATGCTGCATTTACAATATAGATATTCCAAGTACTAAATGGACCGGGGAATATTCTCCCAAGTTTCTGGGGATTTATCATCTATGTGACCCCATATAGTACCGTATAGCGATATTACAGTAGCTACAGTAGCTTACATGTACATGTACTTGCTGAGATGAAGGTTGACAAACAAGTTTCCAGATTTTGGTCTTGTCTTTGGAGTGACCATGTTTCTGAAAATGTTAATGCTGTAACAGTGTAAGTTTTTGACTTGTTGGGGGATGTCAACCTGGCAATCAACTTAGCCCAGAAAAATCAGGGTACATAGACTTAACAGTAGAGCTGTGTAATTATTGTACTAAGCATCTAGAACACTTTGTCATCTAGAACTGTGTTTACTGTCCTGTACAGTATTGGAGGATAGAGAAAAGGTATTATGTGAGGCTTTCACAGTCCAGTCATATTTGTCGAAAGTTGTGGTAGGATTTAACATCATAGGTTCAAGCGGGCTTTGATAGAACCAACTGCCGAAGAGATTCAAAGACAGCTTTTTCTGTAATGAATTTTGGACAATACATGGCCTCTGTTTGTGATCATAGCTGCATAACAAATGTAACCCGACCATCACTGAATGTATTTTTTGTCTCCAGTTAGCTCGTAGCAATTCAGGATTTTGTTAACTTTGTATGTACCCTTGACACTACTGTTGTCAGCACTAAACCGTGTTTTGAATGATGATCCTATCCCCTCATTTACATATATATAGAACTACCTGTTATCTGGAACACTCTGGCCTGGTGGTGTAAGAGTTATTGTAGTAGTTGTAATGCAATATATCAGCATGTTCACACTTCAGGTTTCCCTGGATAGTGAAAATGCATGTTTGCCCTGTTCTTGTACATGTTACTGTCCAAGGAATTAAGCTGCCAAATGTTACACTTGACCAACCCATAACCATCATGTGAACATTTTGTAGCTGATATGTGGATTCTGTGCTAAAGAGTGGAACATGTATGTCTGGCAGATCTTAAGAGCTGATGAAAAATGTGTATACACAAACCTTACTCTATATTGACATTGTGATTTGTTGCATTAATACATTTGTGAGTACCTGGAGTCACTTGCCCATTAACCATTGTCTTCAAAGATTGTATTGCATAATTGTTGAGAACATATGAATTGCTATTAATTATATCTCCTCGTGCAGAGATTGGAGTAAGGAGGAGTTACTTATGAATCTGCCTGCATGTATGTGACTATAACGTTAATGTTTGATATAATGTTTTACTTGACTTCATCAACAAGTCACAGTGGATATGTGATATTTACTTAATGCACTGATGTTTTTACAAGCACCATGTATACATGCACAGGTAAAATTTGACCAAGTATTTTTCTACTTGATACGTAGTACTTCAATTTTGCAATCATCTGGCATCACCTGTATTCTATTGTATCAATCGAAACTTAACAGTACTTCAGTGTGTAATGTTACTTCTGAACCCTAATTGGTGTTGTTACTAACAGATCAGCATAACTCTTACCATCCATTACTCTCCATAGGAGGTTCAGAAGCAAAGATAAACTACAAATTGTCAATATCTGTAGCAGATGTACCTGTGATAGTTTTACATGAATTCAAGTCTCAAAATGTACAGTGGTCCCAGTTAATGTAACAAAGGTCATCTGCAGTTGGCTTCTGTTCCTGCAGAGTATTATTGGTTGTGCTAAGTTAGATGAAGCAAATGAAGCATACCACAGTTTTGTCTACCCAAGATTCACAGCAAGTATTCCAGAACGAAATGGTGAACCCTTCTGTACCTGTACGAAATATTTCCTTATTTATTTATTCAGGCATAATTGACTTGTGTGACACCACATGTAGTGTTGGTGGGAACCCAGCGATTTGGGATGATTTTCTGTCCAGTGTTACTGCTGTTCATAACGATGCTACCTAACATATATTGTATATAGAAAGTACAGGTGTGCATATGCACCATATAGTCTCTATCCACTCTGTATAATTCACTCATGCCATATCAATTACACCTGCGTCATCCCCTATCTCCGTTGTCAAATATATATTGTGATATCCCAATTTTAGAGCAATAAATACAGATTGTTCTATGAAATGATTTCGGTTTAAGGGTCGTTTGTCTATGAGCCACAGGCAATATTGCATTTTCCTGTGTACAGCTGTTTTTCCAGATCCTTTACATGACATGTGCGCACCGACCCCAAAAAGGATAGTGCCAACTAGGTCTGTGCGTCAGGTGCAACAGTACAGTTCCTTGGTTCGGCGAACTACTACTACAGACATTTCATCAAAGCATTCCATAGCTGAAACTCCTTAAAAAGACGTCAACCAAGTCGTTAACGGCCTTGATAAGCAATACTGGCACCACTCTTGGCCTATTCTGACTTTTCCTACCCATTGTTGACACATATGCGTCTGACGTGGGCATTGGGATGTGCTAAGTCAAGTCAAGTTCAGGACAGGCTTGAGGGGTTAATTTCATAGCCGGTCCCTGTCGTCGGCCGAGCAACGTTACTGTGTGCATAGACGTAAATTACTGGCGGAAACTTTAACCTGCGCAGTTCTGCGATCTTTCCTGGCCTTTTTTCACGCGGACCCAGTGATGTAAATTTGCCTAGATCGTATATGTGCGCATCAGAGGATCGACTAATTGCTTGGTATCTTCTTGCAGATTTCTGAAAGGAGTGAATCCTCTTCATCGAGGCAGTACTTTCGACAGAACACGCGTACGGATGCCGCAATGGTGTTGGAAGAATTTAAGCGCTACTTTCAATGCAGATGTGCTGTCCCTGTTACATAACAGTTTCTGGCCATGGGTTTGCCGATACTGGGCCCGTTTCCAGGAGCTTCCATAAATCTTCGCCAATGCAGTAGCGTACAGCATAGAATCTATAACAACAAGTGAGTACATTGAGTCCAATGAGGCTCGTGACCGGCAGCGAGGGTTTGTCCAATATGTTGCGCGCACTAAAAGTGCTACCGAACGTGACAAAAAGGTACAGATATATATAAGGTTCGCCAGATGAACCTCACCATCACTGTCCGGCAAAGTGAGGCATATGATTTTGGTATTGTGTATTTTTTTAAATCTGGCAAAAAACAACTTTGGCATATTTTGCCCTGTAATTGAACCTGAAAGTTCGGAGGGTGAAAGCATGGGTTGTGTGCAACAGGTGCTTTGCGCGACTTGAACCCTGCAGGTTCAAGGTAAGAGGCCTTATCTTTATCTAGGAGCCAGGAGAAACCAGGTCTGGGCTACACTGGCCGTGACTCGTCTGGGCGTGCGTTGGGCTCAAAGGTGCCTTTCTTTTCAGTTATCCCTTTCCAGATTAAAAAGGTCATAGGTTTTCAGTAAGTTCAACTGACGTACAAACGGCGTTCAAAAGATCGCAAGGGGGATAACTCAAAATTTCGGGGGATGGCTGTAAAGTTTGGCATGCACCTCCATGTTCGGGTCTCACCTGGCTGCTGACAAGGAGGGCACCATCCGTGTCGGGGACGCCGTGTTCGCACAGGTGGACTGAGAGACGTCCGCGCATCTCAGCTTCCTCTGCTCTCTGTCATAATTTTAAATAGTTTCATTCAAACCCACATTGGATGTTCTAACACAAAAGAGAGGTTCGAAAGGGATGAAGAGAGGTGGAAATTTATTCAATCGTACTGACAAAAGTGGTGTAGTCTAATGTTGGAGATGATTTTGAAAATCTTGACTCCTGGGTGTTACTTATGAATACTTATAATAATCAATATCATCTTGAAAGTTCATCTGTGTTGGTAGAAGTCATTATGAAGTAAGTTTAAACTGTAATTTCCAACACAACAAAAAAAAAATTGGACTCACCCAAATTTTCGACTGTACAACTGTACAGTCTTTTTCACGGAATGAGCAATCCACCTCTTCCGTGACGTCACGCAGATAACACACGTGACTCCGTGAGCAGTGGATCATAGGTTGCAGAAAGTCTGTGGCGCCCCCCGTCTCTGTTGAGGGATGGCTGTAAAGCCCTGATGTAGATGGCCTCTTTAATCCCTCTGAG